GACGGACAATCACTCATATGATAAGCTCCGCTCGACAAAGTCGACAGCGGAGCTAAAAACAATTTATACGTTTCTAATACTATTACATATACAAGGAATTGTCATAAAAATTGGTGAACCACTGAAATGTTTAATCACACTGTAAACCACTATAATTCCACGCAAGACAAGTTTATGCAAATTTTGTAAATCAGGTAAACTGCTTAACTTTGTAGCAGAGAACATTTAATTACCAGAAGACATTTAATTTTAAAGTCACAGTGATTATCGCAGACTTTCATTCGCACAAAGGCCATTGTTATTCACGATTGCACTAAGAATGCAATTTAATAACTTTGATTTCAAAATGCAAATACATAAAGAAATTTCAAGATATTGAATTATTAGCAATCAATTTCCTACACATTAAAAATATAATACTTGCCTTCCTTGATTTTAACACCATTGTGTTCAGCAAAGGTTGGACTGTTGTCATTGGTGTCAATCACTTTTACGCGTACCACACAACTGCTGGTCAAAGCATTGCTGCCTGACCCATCAACCGCTTTTATTGTCAGTTTATACGTCTTGTGGATCTCCCAATCAAGTATGAAACGAGTCAGAATAACACCGCTACCAGAATCGATAATGAAATCCTGCTCATCAGGTTCACTTTTAGTGATGGAATATGTTATAACAGCGTTATCACCAATGTCTGCATCGGTAGCAATTACCTAAATATGATGTAGAAATTCACAAAATTTGAGTTTGTACAAATTAAACAAAGCCGGATGAGGAAAGTCTCCCCAAACATACAGCCATTAGTCCCCTACATAGTCACAATAGTCTCATATAGCATATATCTACTTACCTGTGTGACATAAGTGTTACGTAGTTCATTCTCCCAAACCTGTGCCGAGTACCTTTCATGTATAAATATGGGAGGATTGTCATTGATATCATCTAGTATGATTTTTAAATGCGTAAAACCATAGCGGTCAGTGTTGACACTGGCAGAAATTGTCAGGGTGATATGTGGAGTCGTCTCACGATCCAACAGACTGGGGTCCTTCACAGTCACGATACCTGTAGTATATAATAATATAGACAATACATTGGGAATGAGAGTGATTACTGTTGCATTGTGAATTCAATGTAAGAAACATTCACTGGCTTTAATCTAAGCAGATTCATTGGTTTGTGAATCAATCAATGATTAAATTTTAATATTCATGGTTTTTATCCTTTTTTTAAGTTTCAGGTTATTAATTATTATCGTAGGGATAAGCAAAGCTAAAACCCAGCTAATAAGCTTGATACAGTATTTTACTTTGAAGCATCAGGATATAATAAATGCACATTAAAATCAGTGGGTAGTCACATGACTTACCCGAATCTTCTTCTATTTCAAAGGCATCATTGCCATGCTCAATGGCAAATCGTATGCCACCGACAGGGTTTACAACCTCTGATCTCATGTTAATAACCACCAAATTATATACTGCATGTTCTGTTATGTGTCTCTCATATAATCCTTGTTGAAACTCAATTGGAGGTGTAGCGTCGTCTACATGGATCAGAACATAACCTGGAATTGAAAGATACATGTATATAAAGATATCAGTCTTTAGGATCACATTAAATAAACTTATTCTTAACACGACATTAAGCTACATTTTTCACTGCGTTGCAATACACTTCACAAATACTACCATGGAACACAATGAAAGAATGAAAGTCAGTTGGCAAAGGGCAAATATCGAATTAATTCAACAATGTTAGATGGAGCAAACTTACCGTCCGTGCTGAGAGATGGAACACCGTTGTCAGTAACTCTCACATCTATCCGATGCATAGACTGGGCATTAATAGTGGCTATGCTTTTAACGATGCCATTACTTTCCACTTTGAAATAACTACTTGTTCCAAGCAAACTGAAATCAAACGCAATTGTGATCAATTCGAGAAGTATCTTAATAAACATCAGTGGAGTTCACGTATCCAGATTAAAAGTAAAGCAAACTATTGCAATTAGTCTTTAGTATTTACCTGTATGTGACTTCAGCATTGACACCTTCATCACTATCGCTAGACGATATCTGTAATACTGATGAGTCAACAGGAAGGTCGTTTGAAATGTTAGCAGTAAACGGTTCTTGAGTAAACTCTGGTGCATTGTCATTGATGTCAGTGATGATAATGTGGATCGGTGCTTGTGAGGAGAGTGGGTTGGAGACGCTCTCGTCCGTTGCATTTACGTGAAAGAAGTACTCAGCCTGAGATTCTCTGTCAAATCGTCTGCAAAATGAAAAATAAGTATTAAAGACAGGGTTTGACACATTGTGTGTTCTACTATGTGTTTAAGATATAGGGTAATCACTGGTACAGAAACACCGACAAGAATAGAGATATTGGGAGACTGGAATAAACCAAGCACTCACCTAACTGATGTCACGTCACCAGTCTTGCAATCTATCCGGAACACACGCTCCATCAAATTCTCTAAAGTGTAATTAACACCGGCATTAGTGCCCAGATCAGCATCGGTAGCTACCACTGTTAAGACCGTACCATTGACAGCAAAGTCTTCAGGAATTGACACAGTATAGGGAAGATTTTCAAACAGAGGTGCATTGTCATTGAGGTCAACCACATCCACGGTTATATTCATGGTACCAGTAAGAGGATTGGTGGCCATATCTTCTGCAGTAATCTCCAATTCATAGTGATGTTTGGTTTCTCGGTCCAAGGTAATTTGAGTTGAAAACTCACCAGTGATAGGATCAATTACAAACCTATTCCCTTCATTGCCACCTGCAAACAGAATTTATAATTTAATTTTAATATTGAGTACAAAAAAAGAAATTTAGAGCTTTGTATTTGCCGTTGTACTGACAGCAAATTCATTTCAGGATGCTATTCCACGCTTTTGTTGTTAATCTCCCTACCCTTCCTGGGTCATAGAACAAATCTTCATACCTTAGCTACAGAAATGTATTTCATGTAAGTTAATGAAGTATTATGTTTCGTGCCTTTGGGTCATTGTAATTGGTCTGTGAGACAAGGAAGGTTCCTGGCAACCCAAGATCAGGATTCATGTCCATCAGATTCTGACATAAAGACTTTCTCTTTATATGTTTCTCATGATTGAATGAAACACAGTAATTTGTTGCACAACATTTTTATAACACGTATGATGGCAGCACTTCTGTGACGTCAAAATGACATACGTGTATATGGGGTGGAGGCAATGTCATTGAAATTGACAACAGTGTTTTGTTGTGCAGTCATTCTTCATCTTAGAACAAACACGATATGCAACGCATTACAAAAGGTGACATTCTTACCAGTTATGCTGTATCTTATTTCAGCGTTTGTACCAGTATCAGCATCGGTAGCTACCACTACGTGTAATCTTGTAGTTTGTCCATTTTCTGGTACCGATATAGAATACGTGGACATAGCAAACACTGGCGCATGGTCATTCATGTCTAGTACGTTGACTAAGACTAAGGTTGTATCAAACAAGGACGGGAAAGCCTGATCGTTAGCATAGACTGAAACAGAAAGTGACACAAATCAATAAGTATGGAGTAGTAAAGATAAAATAAATCCATCCTCGGTTGATGGCAAACTAAAAATCATGTAAATTGGAAAATGACTATAAGGCCTCACCTGTTACAGCGTAAGAACCAAGAGTTTCTCTGTCTAGAGCACCATTAGTGTATATTGCTCCGGAGTCAGCGTTAATCCAGAACATATCATTGGCAATACCATTTGGGATACTGTACAACACCTGACCATTAACATCTGGAATCAAGTTTACAATACACACTTTAAGCACAGGAAATCTGCTACACTCTGAAGGCATGGGGCCAAATACACAGCTACAGTGTTACTGACACCGTCTTTTAATATATGGTAGGAGTGCATTACATTTGTATAACAAGCAGTCTCTCGGCTGAGATAGCTCCGCTGTTAGCAATGCACATTTCAATTAAAGAACAAAAGATATCATTAGAAAATGAACAATATGCATAATATCAATGCAATGGGACTTGCTGTTTTCAACAAGAATTCAAAAATATCATTTTTCACCATAAATGATTGTGGTTTTTAACAAGAAGAAAATATCACTTTTTACCAAAAATGACAAAAATATTCACCAAAATTAGATAATTAAAGATATCATCACGAAATGAACAAATCTGAGAGAGGTTCACATGTAGTACCTATATATGTAGTATCAAAGCAATTGGACTTGCGGTTTTTAACAAGAAGTCGAAAATATCACTTTTTACCAAAAATGACAAAAATATTCACTAAAATTAGAGAATTGAAGATATGATCATGAAATGAACAAATCTGAGAGAGATCTACCCAAGGTACATATACACCAAGTATCAAAGCATTCAGGCTTGTAGTTTTCAAGAAGAAGTCGAAAAAGTAAAACATTGACACGGAAGACGCCGGATAATCACTCATATGATAAGCTCCGCTCGACAAAGTCGACAGCGGAGCTAAAAATATTAAAATAGTGGGAATATTATGATGTGTGAAAGTCTATCGTTGGAACCCACACATGTTTTAGTTTATGTTAGAACTTTACGATAACGTCATTGTTACATTTTAATAGCTACAATGTTATTCAGTCAATTGCATGGTTTACCACTCGAATTTTGTTATTGTCACAATCTGTCATATTTCTGGTTCTGCCACCATCTCGTTATCTCTTGGTGTGTTTGAAATAAACTATCGAATGGTTAACTGATTCTCATAACAGAATGACACTCCTGAATTGGCCGTATACGTTCCTAAATAGATTGTGGCTATCTCCACAAAGTGGTTGAATGGCAGATTGACAGTGATAAGGTTGAGAAAGACATATTTGACGTTACCTATATCTGCATCTGTAGCATTGACGCTTCCCAGATAGATAAACGCATCTTGGTTCTCTTGTACATCCATTACAAACATATCACTAGTAAAAACAGGAGCATTGTCATTCACGTCTTCCAAGTAAATGATCAAGTACTGGAACGCGACTCTTGGTAGTACACCATGGTCAGATGCCGAGATGTTCAATCCATAAGCGTCTCGCTGTTCCCTATCAAGAGGATCGACCAATGAGAGTATACCAGTGCTGTGTTCAATGGTGAATTTACCTTCTTCATTGCCATCCACGATATTGTAAACCACTCTGCCATTATCACCAAAGTCAGGATCCAAGGCATTGATATGCATGATGGGATATCCCAGTGGTTCATCCTCCATCACGTAAGTATACGACCGGGAAACGAACAGAGGACTGTTGTCATTTTCATCTTCAATAATAATGCGTGCAGTAGTTGTACCAATCAGTGGTTGCTGGGGTTCAAGAGGTAGATCCATTGCTTCTATGACTAGAGTATATTCAGAATACTCCTCTCTATTGATGTAATCAGTTGTTTTTAGCTCTCCGGTTTCTGGATGTATTTCAAACATGATGTGTTTGCCTGAATGACCGGAAATGTTGTATCGAATTTTTCCATTCCAGCCCGAATCTGCATCGACTGCACTGAATGTATACGCAACATGACCAATGGCCACATTCTCCCGCAGTGGAAATATTATTGGATCGTTAGCAAACTCGGGAGCATTGTCATTCAAGTCAGTAATGTAAATATGCACAGTTGTAGTCGTACTGAGTGGGTGTAGTATATTCATATCAGAGGCTAGAATTGTCAGGACATGACTTGCGGCAAGTTCATAATCGACATATTTCACAGTGAAGATATTCCCAGTGGTATGATTAATTTCAAAAGTACCATATATATCACCATCTATGATGTAATATCTCACAGCACCATTATTTCCAGCATCACGATCCGCGGCAATGACCTGCCCGATATTGGTACTCGGAGGAGTGTTCTCCTGAACCGTAAAGGCATAAGTCGAATTCATAAACTTAGGACTGTTATCATTCTCATCCTTGACCTCGACTCGGACAAAAGCTACCGCCTCTTTTGGAGGATTGCCGTGATCTCTGGCCATCACCGTTAAGTGATAGCTAGATTTGGACTCTCTGTCAAGTACTGCACGGGTTCTGATCATACCATTAGTTTCATCAATAGTGAACATGACTTGATTGTTAAAAATGCCGCCTGAAAAGAAATAGCAAATACAACAACAGATGAAAAATAATTCAAGGTGAAACATCAAGTACTGGTACTGAAGAATCAATGAATATTCATGAAAAAAAAGCATGAAATTAAAAACATGTTACTATTTAGCGTTGCCCAATTGTAATATTTGGTCCTTGTTAGATGCCGTTGAGAGGTGCACATATCCAATCAAATAAGCTGGAATTCGTTCTTAAGATTTACAGATTTTATTTAGATAAATCCAATGTAAAAATTATGCAATATGCAAAAATGCAAATTTAAGTTCTTACTTAAATAACCTCTTACAAAACAGTTAATGAATCAGTATCATAAGAACATGTTTGGTTGGCTTTGCATGGAAGATGTGCTACAAATACAGCAAATAGGTAAGTCAATTCAAGACCACATCACAACTCACCAGCAACCAGATCATAAGAAACAACACCATTGCTTCCACTATCAGGATCCTTGGCAGTGACCTGAATCACGGCACTATTGGGTGGCTCGTCCTCTCTTACGTTAGCAACATAGTCGCCCTTATGATTGAATTCAGGTGGATTGTCATTTTCATCCAGTACGTTTATATACACAACTGAGGTATCTTGTCTGGCAGGTGTGCCCAGGTCAGTGGCTGTCACTGTCAAAGTATACATGAAGTTGGCTTCACGGTCCAGCATCATGTTTGTTGATATCATGCCTAATGTAACAGAACAACACATGATTATAATTAACTTTTATGAACAATTTAAAGTGGGGGTGTCGTCACCTGCGCATGCATCAGATGGCCATAGCGTGTAATTGTTTACAAACAAGCGTCTACCCATGAGCCTTAGCGTTTTTAGCGTGTGCTTGGGACTCAATTCCTGTGCATGCGCTGGTGACGTCTCTCTCTTTTTAAAGCAAAATATAATTTCCAACATCTTGAAATCTATACATACAGTGTAAGATATCGCTAAAAAAATAACAGGCAAGTCCATGGTCAAAATATGTCGTATTTTAATCCAACATACATTACACACAAATGTTGGAGATGTGCTTCTAATAGAGAAAATACAGTATATGATCTTGGGATAATTGGGGTTGTTCTCAAATCAACATACTATAAAAAGGATTAATTATTCACTGGGTTTTAATTTTGCTTATTTGGCTGACTGGAAAATGAGTTAAATTAAAACCCAGTGAATATGTAAAATTTAGCATAGAACACATTATCTAAATGATAAAACTGTGAATTTAAAACCCACTGAATATGCCTGAAATGATAAATCAGTGAAATTTAAACCCAGTGAAAATTAAATTGTCAATTATCAATATACAAACTGTATCAACTTACCTGTTTGTTCATCAATGGAAAATGTATCATCAGGTTGTATACTATAAACTATTTCACCATTGGTGCCTTGATCTCTGTCGGAAGCACTCACAGTGTCAACATACGAATATGCAATTTCATTCTCGTTTATGGTGAAATGATAGCTTTCGTGCAGCAGCCTAGGGTTATTATCATTGACGTCCGTTACATGAATAATTACGGTGGCAGTAGCACTTTGTACTGGATCACCGTTGTCTTTAGCAATCACTTCAAGAACATAGTCGGGGACCAATTCCCTGTCCAGCATTTTCTTGGTATACAGTACACCAGTGTCTGGGAATATTCCAAAGTTACCAGCATACTGCGAAGCTCTAAGAGTATATGTGATGCGAGCGTTATTTCCTAAATCGCCATCGGTGGCAGACACTGTGACGATTCGTTCACCCACCACCAATGATTCAGCAACATCGACTTCGTATGACGTGGGATAGAACTGTGGGCCATTATTGTTCATGTCTTGTATATATACCTTAAGTGTCATTACCGAAGATAGACTTGGATGTCCTTTATCATACGCTTCGATAATTAGTTCGTATTCACTCATTTCGCTGTATTCCACAGTACGATGGATCTGTATCTGTCCTGTTAGTTTATTAATACTGAACAAGCCATCAAAATTATTCATATTATTGCTATCAACAAGTCGGTATTCCACTTTACCATTGTCACCACTGTCTCTATCGGTTGCCACAGGTATGAATGGCAAAATAGTACCAGGAGTTATCGTTTCGCTCACAGACACCACTTCTGAAGCACGTGCAAATTCGGGGAAGTTGTCATTGACATCAATGATGCTAATGTTGACCTGTGCTCTGCCATGTGTTGGAGGATTGCCACTGGCTGCCTGTATGTTAAGCAGTACGTAGACATGTGATTCATAATCTAAAGCTGAGTTGATGGACAGAACGCCAGTAGTAGGATGGAGAGAGAAGTAACCATCAGGATCACCAGAATGAATGGTATATGTTATGCTGTCACGGTTATCTGCAATGCAAATATATACAGGTTAAATAATTGACATTAGGACAATTAAGTTGAATACAAAAACAAAGGGAGAATTACCAAATTTTCTGGCAGTACAAAATTTTATTGGGGTCACAGCGACTTTTGCAAAATTTCTCCATATGAATTGTCAAATTAAAGAGTGGTAGTCGTTGTGATGTACCACGTTTGATATGGATTCTATGTGAAATATAGATTGCATGTGAAATACACTTTATAAGACTTATAGAGAACCTTTCTGTACACATGCAACAGACAATGAATTATGTATTAATATTATTCAGTTTATTCAGGATTTTATCAGTCATAACACATACGCTATAATTGCCTCTACGTTAATGGCATGTTGGGTTGCAGATAGATCGTCTTTGTGTGCATAGCGTTAAAGAAATATGAAAGGTAAACTTGTCTTACCAGGATCAGCATGTGCAGCATGCACGGTGCTGATACTCTGAAATCGGGGCGAGTCTTCAGAAACAGAGTAACTATAAATTGGATGGTCAAATATTGGTGGTGAATCTTCTGAGCTGATGACGCTTATAGAGACGTCAGCATCAATCAACGACTGCAAACCTCCACCGTCTGTCGCCGAGATAGTCAGCTGATGAAGCGATTGTAACTGACGATTCAAAGACAATTGGAGACGAATCATACCTGACAGGGAAGGGAGAACAAAATTGGTGTAAATTGCTTTAATTCCCCAAGTGAAAGTGATTCACTTTCAGATGAGCAGTCACAGTTTCGTTCACAGGATTTTGTTCTGATAAAAATGTTTAAACTATTAAATCTTTAAAATTGATTGATGCATAAAACAGTTCACAGCTCAAATAATGAATCATTTCACAAAATTCAAAGCATATAGCCATAATTAACCTTTTCACCAACAGTTCCCTCTTTTCATCACAAACTCACAGAATAGTCCTGTTTATAGTCTGAACTTTCCTTCAGAACACCGGGACAAAATATTTTGAGTAATAACTGAAAATTGACTCAAATTTTGTTTGCTGATTCCAAAATTAGTGTTCATTTCCAAAAATATTGAAGAATATTGAAGAAAAGTGCCGACAAATTTAGATGACAAAGTGTGGTGGTGAAAAGGTTAAAACGTGAAAATAACTTACCACTTCGAGAGTTGATGGTGAATATATTATTCTCATTTCCTGATGTGATTTGATATGTTATAAGTCCATAGGCTCCGGCATCTCGATCGGTGGCTGCCACGGATATCACTTCAGTTCCCACTGCACTGTCCTCACTCAAATCAACTGTGAATGGGCAGAAGAACACAAATTAGAACAATAGATACAGGGGTATTCCAAGATACAAGGGTTCAGAATATAACATAGCACTTGACACATTGAGAAAAATATACATTTTATGTAGTTATACTGGACCAATAAAAATACACATGATATTGGTGAATTATTTATTAGTTATTCACCCACTGTTGGATTATGAGGACCACCACTGTGATTCGTTGCATTCCACAGTGGTATTCACAGATCAATCCTCCTACCCAACCCTGCCAATGACCACAGAACAGTTCTCTAATCTAACCGTACTAGAACAAAGCCTGTCAAGGGTCAAACAAAGCTTGTCTCAATGCTATGCCAATGACCATAGCCATGACAAAGAGACATCATTTAAACATGGCCATGATGAGAAGCAAACAATCCATGTGTCACTGTATCATTACTGATTAGATTTTGGTGTGACAATGAAGACTATAGGATACATATCAAATTGGTTCACTGAGGCGAAAATCATTTCATCTATGTTTACCAAGCAAGGTTCAAAACCTAATGTACATTTTATCGGCATGCCATGTCAGAGCATTTCCATCGCTGTTACGACGTGCAACAGATTATATGGGTAGGTAGTGAGTAGTCACTATGCACGATCAGAAATTGAAAAGATTATACAGGAAACTAATCATTTTTACAAATTATGCTCTATCTCTAGCAATCTGACATGGTTGAGGGGCACAACAGATCTCCACTAGGGGCGCCCTAATTGTCTTTTAAACCATTATCAACTTAATCATGATGCACTAAGAAATATGACTATAAGCAACCAGTTATAGCCAATTGAAAACTGAAGTAATTGTATGGGACTGCTATCACCTTCATTACAACAATACAATGCTATTATCTTCATTCCCCACCCTTCTCAATAAGACAGCTAAACCAACAAGCAATTAAAACACAATGGGAAATGGGAACTTATTCACTTAATCAGCCACTACTAATCAATGACCTCAATAATCAGAGTAATGTACAGCTCCATTTCAGTGGAAGAGTCATTTTGTGATGTTGGCTGACTGACTGGCTGGCTGCATTGTCTACTAGGATAGGATACCAGTTTCAAACCATCAAGGCCAAAGTCACAAGCTCTGGGACAAGGCCAGCCATAGATTCCATACATTCCCAAGATGCATTGTAGTCCATTCACAAATTGGATTACATGATCACAAGCAGAGATTTGTACACAGGCCTTGAACTTTATGAACCCATGGTATGAATGGTAACAGCTCATTCTGTTTTCAAATAATCATTGCATTATGATTAGAAAGTTGTTGGCAATGAAATCTGGTACTTGTACATTACAGGAATTGTATTCGATTTATAATGTAGCCTACACAACATGCTTGGACAGATGGCCAGTGCATTTGGTTTCATTATATATTTGCTTTCATGTCAGTGAAAGCTGCAAGGCATCAACGTATAATATTTCTCTAATACTGAATGTGCCACATATACTATACCGGTAAATTGACCTTATTTCTGTCAAGTATGCTCATTTTAGTAACTATGGCAACTTGCTTCTATTATGATTTGCGTATGATAATCCTGGTATTTTTTGACAGGGGGCTTACTGAGATAACACATGATTGAATGCTTCAGACAAGGATAAAAAAACTGATACAATTTTTTAATAAATGATTTCATTTTCATCCACAAGAATGAGAAGCAACAACTGCATTTTTATAGGGGTGTCTGGGATGCAATAAGAGGAGAGACCACTTACCTGCGTATATGTGTGGGTAAAATATCGGTTTGTTATCATTAACGTCTAGTATATTGATATTAACCATGGTAACCGAATGTAGCCCACCGCCATCAGTGGCCTGTACGGGAAACAAAAAGGACGTGGTGCCTCTATCTCGGTCCAATGACATGGTCGCACATATCCATCCTGTTTCAGGGCGAATGGAAAACTCAGCGGGAGGAGAAATTCCAAACACATGTCCCATTGAATAGGTGATACGACCGAATTCATCAGCATCCGGATCAGTGGCAGCAACCTGTTGAATTTTGGAGAAAAAAACAATAAAGTCAATACCAATATAGATTTAATATTTCAAAAGTGACATATGTTACAATGGCTCTTTCATCTGTGCCGAGAATAAGCAGAATATATGAATAAACAGCACTCTATTGAATATCTAAAACTCAACCCTGGGGTGGAATTTACTATCCATGTATTATGTTACAACTGAGGTCAAAGTCTTTAGTCTGTTTACTACAACACTATTCATGGGTCTTTTTCAATAAAGAAAAGGCCCATATTAAAACAGTTTATTGCTAAGTACATACCACAATATTTAAAGATTTATTTTAGACACATGGTTCAGGGTGAAATTCCAAATATGATTAATACGTATGGGTTATTATCATGAAACAGATTTTAAAGTCCCTAGTCAAAATGAGAGCCAGCCTCGATACAAACACAACCAGACCTAAGAAATACCTGCATGCAAGAGTGGATGAAGTGCTTATAGATGTTTCCCATTGTATGGACAGACTGGAAAAGTATTTCTATTCTACTATTGGAATAAGTACTCGACGACTGAAGAGATTTTAACATCCAGAGGATAGTGCTAATTATAAACGATGTTTTTATTCACAGTAATATAACAAAGCTGTAGAGGCAGTCAATATGGACATGCTGCATGAACTGATATCCATTGTTAGCATACAATGCAACACACAACACTACTGTTATGGACTTGAACACTGTATCTCATCAAACACAACATAATACACACTCTTTAATTCAGTTATGAAGAGAATTTAATATTGGGTCCAAAATACAGGGAGTGAAAAGTATTCATAACACCTGACACCTACAAGTGTAGATAAAACTACCTCCTGCTTTATTAAACATAGTCCTGCGCCTTTTGCAACCACAACTTTATAGACATAACTTTATAGACATAATTGAAGACCAGTTGTAATTTTTATATCCCCTGCTTGCTCTCAGGAAAGTGCATCCACACGTGACGAAGTGGTCTCCGAAATAATTAGCAGTCACGGCCATGGTAAATATTTCAAGGTATTTTGACGAGAGATCACTGATTCAAATGTATTTTCTCCTTTCTGTTCTGGAGAGTGAAAGCTAATAAGGCTGTGAGGAGAGTTTCTTTGCATACAAGGGGGAGGGTAAATAAATATCTATTGTTGCCGACTTGGACTGCCAATCACAGCATCAATTAGCTCATACTACCTCAATAGGTAAATATCAAAACAAGAGGTTAGAATCGCAGTCACTGCCCATGTAGGCTGACTCTAGTATTCATATGTAAATTATCTACATAGACTTGCAAACCCCACTCCCAGTATTTACTTCTGTTCGCTAGCTACCCTTCTCTAGTTACAACACTGTCAATGGTGTTGGACAAGGTTCCAGTAACTTGAACAGCTTTCAAAAACGTTCCGATAGTCAGCCATTCACGCCTTTAGCATCGTTTTTCCTAGCTACAACAACTTAGGAAGTAACAGTTTATTTTTATCTCTGATCAATAAAATTTTTTTAATTGCTAGATTAGATCATAAATAGTCAGAGCCCTGATTTGACCAGCAACACATTTCTACACCCACTTTTTTTGAGATATTTTTTTAACCAACAATTGTTATAAAAAAAAAACATGCATGATTTGAGCCAGTGACAATAAAAGAAAGGTGTGTTACAATGCTAATAAGACTATACAATCAGTGTGCCAGCATGACCCGGCATACTTGGGTCACTCAACTGTATAGATATATTCCACAGTAACAAACGCAACACAAATAATCCTAATAATGATATTATTAAAACAAAGTCATTATAAAAAAAAAAAAAGACTACAAATATTACTACAGGCTGTGTGAAATAATATTAAAGTTATAGTCAACCTTCTAAGTTTTTATTCATGCTAGGACACTTGATTCATGTACTTCAAAAAAATACTGTTTAGCTACACACATGCATTTTCTCCGCACAAACAAATTGCCCCACACATCCTACATTGTATGCGCTTGTCCATTCTGGGTGCTAGATCAAACATACTTTTACCATCTCTCTGACAACAAATTCCAAGCGTTCAGTCTCCTGTTGTAATTTGCTATTGCAGTTGTAAGGTGATCCCCTCTCAATGAGAATACTTTTGGAATAACCCCAGTGAGTTTCTCTATGGAGTGGACTGTACCATTGACTGCTTGATAGGGGTAATAGCATTGACTGTAAGTTTATAGAGCACAATAAATTCTTTTTCTTTTTTTATCTTCCTCTGGTATTATGACTGGATCATACTACTTATTGCTAGATATTCAAGACAAGGTATGGTACCCTAGCAGTGTAGTGAGACATATGAACAACACTGTTTATGTGGCACCGGTTTTAGGCACCACTGTAACTGGGAAACTTGCCAAGTTTTTTGATGGAGTTGAAAAGCAACTGTTTTCACAAGATGACGACAGGCATACATAGGGACAGTCAGAACAAAGCTGAACATGGAAAGGGACTTTGACTGAGCAAGGAACAAATACACAATAAAGTTTGCTAACTGATCATTAAAAAAAAAGCAAAGGTCCAATCGGTATCAATTACAATTGGATGAGAAATGACTTATCATCATGGTGGTAGGAAACCAAACAGCACACCAAATTGAACAGTAGATGTGTTTACTCATAGTAAGGTGAATAGAAGTTTGCTTCAAAGATTCAGATTTATTGAAGATAAGACTTAAAACTTTTTGCAAACTAAACATCTCAATCCTTTTGGTGCAAAATTTGTGTGTATTTTCATTATTTTTTGACTAATTTTTTATTGCTAGCAGATCTTGATAATTTTTTTTGAAAAACATATGTGAAAATTATATGGGTTTATTTTGCCAAAGATGTGTAAAGTGTGCAGTCAAAAGGTTAATGTAATTACAACAGGTGTTGTTACCATAATTCCGACATGTCGTGATGCATTTTCACCATACTGGTCTAAAATATTCTTATCAAGGATTCTAATACTTTGCACAACCTTTCTTCCATTCACCCTCTCACTGAACTTTATAAGATGGTCGGTGAAAACTTTTAACAACCAAATAGAAAATCTTTGGAGCAGTACCATGCTCTACATTTACAATGCATTTGTCAAGGGAAGGTACGAAAGGTTATCCAGAGTATACGAGTAGTTTCAAATATATATACGAATCGCACGCTAATTGTAGGCGTAACTCATTTTTCATGTATGCTCCAGAAAAGGGACAGTAACCGGCATTGTCTCTGGCCCGGTGTTGGTTTTACACTGAATAGAGTATGACATGTGCACCACCACAGTCAACAACATGAATTGTTACACCACCATCCCCACCGGCATCACGACACAAATTACTACATACACCAAACAAGTTCCCAGGTAGATCAATGTATATATATGAGAATACGCCCCTCCCCTTCCAGTCCAGGGTACTGTGCCTACAGGGACAGGTATTATGCAAGGATTTACGACAATAGTCTCATCACACGCAATACAAACAAATCTTATAAATATAAGAATAGAGAAAAACAAACAAAATGCAAGTCATTCTGTTGAGCATTGAAATTTGCATCAACTGAGCGGGATAAGAGGAGGGGTTGACATTAACCAAGCATATGATCTGTTATAAAGCCCACATTCCGAAAAAGATATAAGATACAAACACTATCACATTATACGCTATATTGAAATCCATTGAAGTCGAATTCAATCAAGACACTATTAGTCAACAACCAAACACACCTTGAAATGAAAGACTTCAAGGTTTTTAAAACAGCCACAAGCACCAGGCACCTGTATATATAAAACGCATATGCAGTGGACACTCTCTGCTGTTGTTCATCCCTCCCAGACATCTTTAACAACACAATGCACATTTCAATTGTGGTAAAAAAAAAAAAACACACAGAATTTCTCACCCTGCAATAAAAGGTTCTTTTCATCTGTGCATGTTTGCTTTCACACCCAAGTGGAGCAATGGGGCGACTATGGCAGGCTACAATCATACATTCAGTGGTATCATCACATCTACCCTTAGGGGTTTTTTTACAACACAGACAATACTTATTATCTCATGCTTTTTGTTTTGTTTTGTTTTTATCAAAATATCAATTCAATTAACCTCCATTACAAGCAGGTAAGTTCATTCACTAACAACTTTTAGGAGAACCTTGGTATAAAGTCGCCCACAGGTGCTTGTGTTGCACTGGAACTGGTTGACTCCAGAATAGTGCAATAAATTGCCATAATGCTAATATGATAGGAAGATGATCACATACATAATTCCGAAATACGGATTAATACGGAATATGGTTTTTTGCAGCAAAATGCAATATATGTCAGCACTTGCACTTGCAATTCACACATAGCAAAAAAAGATATGTCAAGAGGGACCAACAGTGCCTAGCCCAAAAAAAAAAAAAGTTCCTATGAAAAAGTGAAGATATACTGATATGTTGTTGAATAAGGAGTTTTTCAAAAGTGACTGCTATCATGAGCAGTAGTATACAGATACATTCCATCCAGGAAACATCATTCAACAACTACAGAATACAAAGAGATATCTAGAACACTGACACATTCCTGAGTAGACCTTTCAATTCAAGGCATGACTTAAAAAAAAAATACAATCCAGGAGATGTGTTGATTTTCTCCACCAAGCTGTTAAAATAACGGCTACCCAAAACAATTAGATGGTGGAAAAGTAAAATTGAAAGAGTGGTATTTCAAGCACTTTTAGAGACATTGCTGATGTGTGTAGCCAAGTATCATACTGACGACATATTCCCTGCACTTACATAAAGTACATGGATATACAAAAGAAAGTACTGGTTGGTGATCATTGTTCCCCCAAAGCAACTCTAGCACTGAGCAACTTGGCTTAATTTTTTTTTTCTTATTCATGTTAAAGTATGATTGATAACAACATTCTACTGTGCAAATTGGTGAAGTCACTGAACAAGTTGAGAGCAAACAAGATTTAGAAGCAACACTGTCCGAGATCCCTCCACAGGA